GAGGTGTCACTGGTTAAAATGGGTCATTGTGCCAGTTTTTTTGTTTTTGTTTCTGTTTTTTTTTTTATGAAGGGATTATGAAGCCGCTGGCCAGCCTACTTATCTTATGAAGATTTTTGCATTGATCCTATCCTTAAAGATATTCAGTGAGCTGGCAATCCTGAAGCTCAGGGGTGATTTCACAGATGCCCTCTCTCTGCCTTTGCTCTCTGAGAACTGCATTGAGGACCAAACAGAAAGTCAGGGCCCATCCTGGGTCCATTAGCAAACAGTTGTTAGCACCATCTTCTCTGCCCTTGGACCAAACTGCCACCAGGACGGAGTTAGAGGGGAGAAATGGGATCGAGATGGAGATGGCCAACCCCCCTGCCCTCCCTGTCACCGGCTCTGCTTCGATGCTGCTTGGCAGAGGAGCCGGTGTGGATACGACATTGATAGCCTCTTCCGTCTTCCCAGACCCTACCATAGTTCAGTCCGTCATAAGAAAAGGAGCAGGGTGGTCTCCTCCATCCTGGAGAATGCATACTTAACGAGGTGTTGATAGTTTTTAATACACAACATTTAAAAAGGAATCGAGGAAGTATGCTGGGTAAAAGGAAAAAAGTATGCTGGCAGGAAACTGTGTGAGGTCCAGGACTGTGGTGCGCAGCGGGGAGAGTCCTAGCCAGAGTGGGAATATGGCATGCAGGGAGTTGGTGTCGTTGGAGTCCTTAGTGTGGGGCTCAGGCTAGATACTGGGGGTACTGCTTGCTTCTTTTCCAGGACTTCCCCCCACACACCAGCTCTGTTCATGGACTGCTCACTGTCTGTAGCTCAGCTTCACTCGGTCACGCTCTAACTGTCCCACATTCCAGCAGGTGGTCAGTTTGTCGCCCACCGACAGAATTGTTGCTCCTTGTCCTGGGTTCAAATGACTGCCACCATCCAAGTGCTATTTTCAGGGCGAGGAAGCTGGCAGGACATCTGGAGCAGAGGGTAGGGAATTCCCAGATCACCTGCCACCCTACCTTGTCACTGCCACGACACTGAAATGTCAACTAAAATGGGGATGCAATGGATCTCTGTCCTTCCTATCCTGTAAGGATTTTGTCCTGAATGTGGTGGGAACGAAAAGGAATCAAGACTGTCAGTCACCTCCTTTCTGCTAGCTGTGCGGGCTCAGCGTTGAGGAAGACCCTGGACACGATTGTTGTACCAGCTGAAGCCAGTCAGTCTAAGAAAGACAAGGGGGGCTTAGATTTAGTCCCTGAATCACTGCTTACCCTTCGTCTAGCACCTCAGCAAGCAGACCTGCCCTGAGCACTGACCATAGGAGGAGCGTACCTGAGTTCTGGCCGTAGGGAGGCATGGAGAAGGCCTTGGGCACTGTCCACAGGACAAAGACATACCCTAGCAGAGGATGGTGAGGTCCCTGATCCTGCTGTTTGCACTGTCAGGAGAGAACTAGAAGGGGTGAGATTCTCTGCCAAGAAGAAGTCCTGCACAGGTCAGCAAGGGCTCTGAGAGACGCCGATGTCACCCGTCTAACAGGAGCAATAGCTGCAGAGAGGAAACCTGGTAGGAGCACCAAGCCAAGGTGCCTGAGACTTTCAGAGACATACTCCAGAGCCAGCCTAGCTGCAAGCATGGGGGAAGAGCAGGTGGGAAGCGCATGGGAGCCATAGATGGAGCCCACTTGCTTCTGGGAATTGGAAGGCCTGCTTTATTTACCACATACATTCTGAGCAAAACCGTCTGAAACTGATTTCCTGTGTTTGAGGTATGACTTTTAACATTTACTGTGCTCTTTTCTCCACCTTGTATTTTATAGCCTGAGCCTGAGCCTTCGCGTGGTTTTTTTGTTGACCAGTGGGAGCTCTCCCTTAGTCTCCGCTCCTCCACCCGCCCCGCCTCTCCCTCCTCTGACTCCCTCAGACAGGTATCATGGCCTGGACTTGGCAAAACTGTGTTCTCCTGCAGCCTCTGCTCGCTCTCCTTTCACAGGTGTCATCCCGCCCCCAGGCTAGGAGGTCTCTGCCTTTGCCTGGCTCCTCAGAAGAGGCGCACACGCGCGTGCGTGCGTGCGTGCGTGCGTGCGTGCGTGTGTGTGTGTGTGTCCACAGACACCTACATTAAAGAGGCTGCTAGCTTTCTTTGAGTGTCTCGCACATCACAGCCTGTCCGAGTGAACCCACTGTTAAGCTGCGTCCAATATCAATAGCATCCTCAACCTTTGGCTGAAGGACTTGGTTTTCATAATCACATGCTACAGAATTTGAACCATTTCGTGGCTAACTCTCCTAAGTAGAATAGCGAGCACACAGCACTCTTGATGCTTCTTTGTGTGTGGAATGAACCCTGCTTTTTCCCCCGGTGGCTTCGATCCAGTTCCATGGCATTTGTTAGGGATCGGAGGCTCTGTTGCCTTTGCCTGTGCTTTGTATTCTTAGCCAGCAGATGCGTGAGGAGGCACGTGCATGTGTGTGGAGTGCAGTGGGGTAAGCCCAGCAGCTGCTACACTTGGGCTCTCTTCCGAGAGCCGGAAGAAGACAACATGCCAGAAACAAAACATCTCTGGGGGATGCTTGTCAGTGTCACCAAGAACTGAATGTGACAAATGCCTCCACATGCGCAGCCCCAGGCCGTGGCTGCTGAGAGGATGGTCTCTGGTCATGAGAGAAAGGTCTTGGGTGTGCACAGTGGGGCTAAGACCGCAGTGTGCTGTCCCCCTGCCATCTGCTCTGCAGAGTTGAAGACAATGTGACTTCCCAATCCTTTGAGGGCAGCTCTCAGATGGGAACTCTTCTCTTCATTTCTGCTCCCCTCTGCCTGTCTCAGGCCTGTGCTTCTCCAGGTTCTTAGTCTAAGTGACTTTGGAATTGGCAGGTAAAACCAATCGTAGGAAATCTCTGTAGTTGAGTTGCAAAGTGAAATTGATTTGCTCAGTTCCAGCCAGGCTTTGGCTTAGCCTAGTGGGAAGTGTTTTCTCAAGTGTATCTGTTCCCAGACTTAGAACCTGGACATGCTGCTGCTTGGGCCAGCAGCCCTTTTACATATGGGTTTACAGGCTTGTCCCGGGAAGCCACTTACTGGGGGGTTAAGGCCATCTCTGGGATAACTGCATCTGGATCAGAGTTGGTGACAACCTCTCCTGCTTGGCTGGGAGCACCCTTTACTTCCTGCAATGAAGTGTGTAGCACCCCTGTTTCCATCCAGAGTCCTGGCTCCCAGGTCTATAAAAGACTGCCCACAAGACTAACTATAGACCCAGGACAGGATCCAGCTGGGCCACAGGGTGCCAGGCCTCTGTGAGTAGGGCAGCTCACCATACAGACATGATCATCTCTCCTGTTTCTTCAGCACTGCCAAAGGAGGACTGCATTAGTCTGATTTGTGTGTTTTGGAGAAGAAGGTTAGACTGTCTCACGATGTCGTCTAGGCTAGCCTTGAACTCACGGCAACCCTCTCCCACCTTAGCCTCCCAGTGCTAGGATTACAAATGTGTGCACCATACTTCACTTTGGATTTGTCTTCTTTTGCCATTGTTCAGCTTTAAGACCAATTCTTCCAGGGTGAAAGGAGCAGCTTCCTTCAGGGTGTAGCATGTGTCTTTGTGTGCCACCTGGCCTGGGAGAACTCCAGTCTCCACATCTGGGTAGATGAGCACTGTCTTTCTGCTCTCAACCCCCGCCCCCATATCTGTGGGGAAATGGCCAGAGGAGACTTCTTCCCAAAGAGGTCAGGAGGTCAGCTGTATGGAGCAGACTCTGTGGGTCGGACAGTGAGGCAGGGGGTCACCAGCAATGCCAGAACTCTTCACACCCATTGCCCACATGGGACATCAACCTCTGCAAGAATCTGCCTGGTGTCTTTCTCAGCCTGATGTGGTCACCTTATCCTCAGAGCCTGTCAGGCCCTTGCTGGGAGAGGGCCTGACAGGAGCCACCCTCCTGGAGTTAACCCCTCAGACTCTGTGAGTCCAGGTGTAGGCCCGTCTTTCTTGTCTGTGTTGGCTTCTGTTTTGTCGTCTACCTCCCTGTCCCCAGAACTAGACTCTTGGGAAGACGTGAAGGACGAGTTCTTCCCTGTGGAACATAATCTCCACTGCTGTTGCTTATGTGTGTGCTGACCACCGTGTGGACGCCGGCACAGGGTTTTGCTCACTGCCCAGTTTCTGCTTGTGGGCACCGTGTTGGCATGGTTTGCTGTTGCACTGTGTACTCATTTTACACAACTCTCAAAGATTTTTTTTTCCTGTCTCCTTAATTTAATTTTTTTCCCTTCTCATTTCCCTTCATTTTGATCATTCTGTAATCTTCAACCAATAGAAGTATATAAAGATGTACACGGGCGGAGTGAGCTCATTGGCTGAGCAGATAGCCAATCAGCTTCAAAGGAAAGAGCAACCCAAAACCCTTCTAGACAAGAAGGAACTGGTAAGAGAGATCCCAGGGGCACTGTCTCTAGCCACAGCACTATGGTGAACAACCGTCGCCTGCTCTGCAGGCCTTACTGATTTCTGTAGCCACATGGATTACCATATGGTAACTTTCAGAAGGTGATTTTGATGACTGAATTTTCAGGACTGTGTCAAATACTTAGAATGTTCTGTGGAAAAACACTTTTCTCTTTGAAGATAGTCCCTCCGGTACTCAGGCGATGCACACATATGTGCGCACACGAACACTGAGTGTATGCGTATTTTAGTCAACCCCCCAAGCAAAACTCTGGCAGAATAGTTGGTTTGATTGTTAAGAAGTTCTGAAGCTTGGACTCTTCATTAGAAGCCTCTCCTGGATGTTGATCATCACGGGTTTAGACCCCAGCTTGTTCTGAGGGTCCTCGGGAGGGCTTGCGGAGTGAAGCTATTGAGAGCTGCTCTGTGGGGAAGCAGAAATAGAGCATTTGTAGTCATTTCATACTCACGGTCTGTGTCTATGTCGTCAGCACCCACAGAGGGCTTGTATGGCCCTGGGAGAGGCCACAAAGTCTGATGTGCTCCTCCTCTATCCACCCCACAGGGCTCGATAAAGAAAGAGTTCCCACAGAACTTGGGGGGCAGCGACACTTGCTATTTCTGCCAAAAGCGGGTCTACGTGATGGAGAGGCTGAGTGCCGAGGGCAAGTTCTTCCATCGAAGCTGCTTCAAATGCGAGTACTGTGCCACCACGCTGCGCCTCTCTGCGTACGCCTATGACATAGAGGACGGTGAGTCTTTCCACACATTGGTCAAGTCAGCAACCCAGGGGGTGGGGACAGCAGTGGTTTCAAGACAGGATTTCACTGTGTAGCCTTGACTGTTCTGGAACTCACTCTGTAGTCCAGGCTGGCCTCAAACTCAGAGGTCCGCCTGCCTCTGCTTCCCAAGTGCTAGGATTAAAGGCGTGCGCCACCACCGCCTGGCAAAGTAATTCTGAGACTCTTTAAAAATATTTTTCCAGTCACCAGACTGTTACAGCTCAGCCAAGGAGGTGATGATGAGAGCGGTGTCATACATTTCACGTGTTACAGTTCAGCCAAGGAGGTGATAGACTGGTGTCATACATGTCACATCCCCCCCCCCTCATTTCACACACTCACTCTCTTTCCCCTCGTGAGACTGTGGAAGCTAAAAGGGCCATGCTAAGGGTTCCTAGAGCTCATGTTTCTTGCTTGAGAATGATGACAGCAACCAAAATAGATCCCAGGCTTCTGCCTTATTGAGCAGATGGAAATGCCCAAGCATTGTCACCTCCCTGGCATCAGCATCTCCTGGCCTGGGCTCAGGTCTGCTGGTTTAACTGTAGAAAGACCTTAGTTAGGAGGTGAAGAAGTGTGCTATCAATTAACAGCCAGCTTGTCATCTGAAGAGTCTTAAGGAATGGAAACAAATGGCCAAAGGCATTTGTGGCTCCTGCGGCCACCCCTATAGGATGCCGAGGGATTCTTGGGACGTGGTTTAATTTGTTAAAGAGTAATAAACCCAGGTGAACAGAAGAGGAAACTCAGTCTTCACAGGGATGATCGTAAGCCCGTGCCTCAATAGGTGGTTTACTGACTGTAGAAAGAGCGAAAGATGATGGCAGAGAGAGCCCATGTTAAGTCATCCCAGTCTTCCAGACCCTCCTACTAGAGAAACTCAGACAGCCACAGCTTTGTCACAAAGCAAAGTGGCAAACGCGGTCAGCATCAGTTTCCTGCACTAACAAAGACACTGCTCTGTGAAGAGCTGGAGAAGTTGATTACATGAGGAGGCTGATCTGTTCCACTCTCACACGTCCTCCCTCTCAGGCAGCACCTTTGATTCCAAGGAGAGTGATTGGCAGGTGGCCGCCACCACTTAGAACTGTCCTTGATACTTAGGCTATTTCAATTAGTCTTTTACCTTGGATGTGCCTGGAAAGAAGCCCCCTCATTCTCCTGAGGGTATACATGAAGTGTAAGTGTGCCTCTAGGAGCTTAACAGTTTGTGTTATTCAGCTTCTGTCAATGTGATGAAATGCCTGAGATGATCATCTCATATAAAAAAGAGTTTAGTCTGTGACCCATTGGTTTGCTGCTCACTGGCTGAGACATGGTAGCACATGGCAGGAGCGTGCAGCAGAGAAGATGTGCTCACCTCCTTACCGGGAAGCCAAAGAGAGAAGAAGGGAACGGAGTTCACAGTCCCTTTCGAGGCACACCCCCAGCAACCTAACTTCTCCCAGCAGCAGAAGGCCAGCCTTTATTTGACAAGTGGGCTGGCACACTCGGTGGGAGTGATAGACACAGTTCACACTGGTCTCATTTTCATTCCCTAAGCACACCTTTGGTGCCACAGGATCTTCCTTGAGCTGTCCCCTGCCTACAGTATACTTTCCTAGTCATGTTGTAATGGACTTGTTGACCTTCCTGTCCCCGACATGTCCTCTTCTCAGAGGTCGCCTCAGACTTCTGGCCATGAAGTGGCCACTGCGTTTACTGCTTCCTCATTCTAAGCCATGTGTCTTCTGCTCCATCCAACTCAAGTGCTCGTCTACCTTGACTGGTGACCCAGTGTCCATGTTAGCCATGTCGTCAAATGACACTCACAGACAGTTAAGTAAATGCCAGTTTGTCTTGGGCCCGTCTGACAGATACCTGTGTCCTCCCTTTCTGTCACTTAGCTTGATTGTCCAGGTTGCCTAATCTAAGCCAGGCAGAGTCAGGCGGATCTCTGTGAATTCGAGGCCAACCTGGTCTATAAATTGAGTTCCAGGACAGCCAGAGCTGTTACACAGAGAAACCCTGTCTTTTTTTTTTTTTTTTTTTTTTTTTTTTTTAAAGAGTCTCTATAACTTGTGATTAAGTTACAGTGTCAGCCCGGCTGCCTTTCCTGAGACAGGAGCCATAGTGCAATGGCAGACAGTACAGGCTCTGGAGCTGATTTCCTGCCTGAGATGCTCTGACTATGGGGCATTTTGTCAGGCAGCCTAGCTTGACAGTGCCTCACCTACGGACAGATAGTAACAGTCCGTACCGTACATCATTGGGTTGTGTGATTGCTAAACGAATGCATAGATGCAAAGCAGTTGGGATCATGTCTGGAATATAGTAAATGTTAGGTAAAAAATTAGTGGTATGAATTTTCTTTTTTAATTCATTTAAACAGCATATGTAATTCAGTTGAATTTGGGAAAGAATAAAAAACAACATTAAAACTAGGTATAGTGGCACACACCTGTAATCCCAGCACTTGAGAGGCGGAGGCGGAGGCGGAGCCAGGAGGACCAGGAGTTTTCAGGGTCAGGCTAGGCTACATGAATCCATACCTCCAATAAGGAAGTTTTGATGATCGATGTAGCACGCATAACTCACGCCTGTGACGGAGTGACCTGTTTCGCCTTCCAAGGCCAGAGCTCTGTCTTTGGTGGGAGGTAATGAGCGCTAAGAAGCTAGAGTACAAATGGCTGCCAAGAGGTTGGTTTTAACTGAGATCTCACTTTGGCTGTGCCTTTGCGTCATGTGCTGCCTTCCTTGAGAAAACAGTTTTCTGGTATGTTCTTGGAAGTTACCTTTTGGCTAGACTCTGAGCCTGGTTTCTGACACTTCAACCCTTGTATTTAGTTACGAAATAGAGCAAGAGTCAGTGATGGTCAGCCAGGAGTAGAGTTTGTGATCTGGGTTTCTAACTTAGAAGAAAAATTACAATGAAAGCAATAATAAGCCTCAGGCCAGTGAGGTGGCTCAGTGCGGTGCTTGTGGCCAAGCTGATGACCTGAATTTGAGTCCTGAAGATCCACATGGTGGAAGCAGAGAACCAATTGCCACAAGTGTGTTCACTGACCTCCACACGTGCCCTCCCATGCCTACTGCGCACAAACGAGCACACGCGCGCACACACACAAAAATCAATGTAAAAAGTTTTTAAAATTTAAAAACAAATAAACAGGTTTCATGATAAAACTCAAGTCGCTCAAAGTGCTGGCTTTGGAGTTAGTCCTCCTTCTAAATAGTCTCAAAGATAGGGCTGGAGAGAGAGAGCTCAGTGGTTAAGAGCACTGTCAGGTTCATAATCCTAGCACCCACCTGGTGGCTCGCAATCTCCGGTAACTCCAGTCCCACTGGATCCAAGGGGAATACACCTGGTCTACATTCGCACAGCTGTGCATGCAGCACACAACACAGAAAGATACACAGAGATCACCGGGGAAGGGGAAGGGACGAGCTGCCACCTGCCTTTGTTTCCTCTGACTTGTCCATCCCCTGGGTTTACCTTGTTGAAGCCGCTCTTAGCAAATGATAAGGGAAAGCAGGTAGCTTCTGAGGCAGCCATTCTCAGGGCAGGACAGATGTCAAAGAGCTTTAACACCTCAAGTTAGAGCAGAGACTCGGGGTAGTTGACTCCTAGTTCATCCCAGCACACTTGTGCTGAAAGGGAAATGGGTCTTTTCAGACGTTTTTTGGCCTCAGTGTCCTCATGAGACAGCAGCACACTTGGTAAAACCCAGTAAGTGCATGTAGACAGGGCCAGAGTCCTGGAAAATATGGTTGCCCTAGTTAGAGTGAAGCACACTCTTGGGTGTCACTGTTTAGTTAGTTTGTTTCTGATCTGTGGAAGAGTTCTTTGTTGCTGTTGTTTTGAGAGAGAGAGCACATGTAGATTTCTTTGTTGCAAGTGTGTGTGTGTTTGAGAGAGAAAGAGAGAGAAAGAGAGAGAGAGAGAGAGAGCATGTGTAGATTTCTTTGTTGCTATTGTTGTGAGTGTGTGTGTGTGTGTGTGTGTGTGTGTGTGAGAGAGAGAGAGGAGAGAGAGAGAGAGAGAGAGAGAGAGAGAGAGAGAGAGAGAGAGGAGAGTACAAGCATGCATACCACAGTGTGTGTAGAGACCAGAGAACACCTCTGGAGAGTCAGTTATCTCCATCTACCTGATTGAGACATGGTCTCTTACGGTTTGTGCTTCTGCACTGCATACTCCAGGGCAGCTGACCCATGAGCTCCTGGCTCCTGGCTCCACCTCCTGTCTGCCCATAGGAATGCTGGGATTGCAGATTCCCTCCACCACATCCTGCTTTTTGCGTGGGTCCTAGGGACCCAAGTCAGGTTACCAAGCTTGCGTGCAGTTAGCTCCTTTACCTGGCATCCGTCTCTCGCCCTTTGTATTCTTTTCAGCACACGAGGGTTGCAGCCTTCTTTGGACAGGCAGTGGCTAGTGACAGGGAGGGTAGGAGTCTGCGGTGGTGGAGGGAGCAGAGATAGTTCTCTCGGAGTTAGTAACTGGCACCGCCCTGGCCCTTGTAGCCTTCCTGCCTCCACCCTGCACTTGTATTCATTCTTGCCCTCCCCAGAAATGCCGCTGCAGTTTTCATGTGACCATGTCTTTGTCCTCACACACTACTACTTTGTTTGCTGGCTCTGTCAGGCAAGCTCTGCATCTTTGCTCTGGGCGCTGATTGGTGGTGGTTCAACAACCTTCACACACCCAAAGGGGAAGACCTCTGCATTGGATACAGGGAAAGAAGGCTGGGGGCTGTCCTTTCTGGATTGTAGGGGGAGTTGGGAGCTGTGCGGGTAGCGGTTATGCAATGGCACCGTCCTGTGGCTAGTAAGCCAAGGTCACAGTTGTGGCATTTTGCTCACTCTTTCCTAACTCTTCTTGTCCACAGGCAAATTCTACTGTAAGCCGCACTACTGTTACCGACTATCTGGCTACGCGCAAAGGAAGAGGCCAGCAGTGGCTCCTCTATCTGGAAAGGTAACTTCCTGTTAGTGGGACTGTCAAGAGTGTCACCTGTCCCATGAGTGGGCTTGAGAGGAACCACAGTTGGCTACATGTAGGCTTACAAGCTTTTAGTGGTGCTGTTGTCTCCCGGGGCTCATTCTGGGCAGAAGGGCTCCCTGCTGCTCTCTGTAACTGTTCCTTCCCGAGGTCGGAGCTCTTTTCCTTGTAGCTGGTGAATAAGCAACTTCAGGAGCCCCTCCCTTTCAAGCCCACACCCCAGGCATCTGAGGGCCAATCCCTGCTCTCCATAAGAAGAGACCAGACTGCCATAGCCTCTCTACCTGCTGCCCTTTAAGCCCTACTTCTACGAGTTATCGTCTGAAGCCTTGATATTTTTTCTGCTTCAATGAGGGTGGTCTGTTCTCGTTCTTGTCACGGTGGCCTGAATTATCCCTTCACTTCATGGACAGCACCTCGGCCGCATGCAGGCCGATTATTGTTCCTTTCAAAGGCTTGAGTTGACTGCAGAGGGATGGTAGAAAGAGGTGTACAGTGGCCGTTTGTGTCCGTGGAGTCTACATCGTAGGTCCCATTCGTGGAGGGAAAACACTTTTGTTCTGAGTCTGTGCACTCTTCTATCCTCTAAGCAATCCAGTATAGTAACCTTTACTGTGTATAGTAGTCACCTTGTTATATAAGTCAGCCAGAGAGCTGATACATATATGTTGTGTGAATGCATCACAGATTTTGATATCTAAGAGGATCAAACGACTTCTTTCTGAGGAAGACTTCCTCTCTGAGGGATACAATAGACAGAGTAGCCAGTCTGGGGTCGTTGTCTGCTGCGTTGGAGGGCGGCAGTCACGAGTCACTGCTCTTTTTTTATGGACTCTTCTAGGAAACCAAAGGACCCCTGCAGGATGGCTCCACTGGAGATGCAAACGGACTGGCCAGCGTTGCCACAGGCTCAGCCGAGAGAACTCCAGGTAGCCTCACTTCCTTGTTTGCCTGGGTGGTGCATCACTCTCTTGGCCTCTGTAACAAGGCCAAGGGATTGAGCCAGCACCTCCAAAGCAACATTTCTTCAGTCGGGCATCAAGTGGCCCAAAACCCCCTGGACTCCTTTTTCATGTGTCAGCTGCTGGCGTTTGGAGTCCCCTTCCTCTATGGCCTGTCAGAGGTTCTGTTGCAGATTGGAGGGGAGTTTCACTGGCAGGCTGTGAGCCAGTGATGGTGCTGTCTGGTAAGTGGGGTTACCCCACACTCTGAGACACACCAAGGTACTTGGTGTAGACCCTGTAGGTAAACAGAAACCCAAAAGAGGCTGCTCTGTCGTTTACCCAGGGAAAGCCCACAGCCTACTCCTGTGTAGGGCCTGTTTTATGTCACAGAGATGTGTAAGTACGACCCCCAGTTTGAATGTGTCCACTGCAACTTGAAGTTTTGGCATCCCATTCCCCAGCTCTGTGTCAAGATCCTCCATGTGACAAGGGCCACCCTATCCTAATCACTTTAGGGATCTGAGTATCCAGTGAGGGTCAAAACCCCCTTGCCCTACTCTCATTACCACTTCCTGTGTCAAGAGCTCAGCAGTACCATCCTACCTCAGAAAACATGCCAACTCTGTCCATTGCAAGGCAGAATGGGGAATGTCAGGAGCATGAGAATTGTCTTGTTCCCCACTCCCCATCACCCTTGTAAAACTAGCCACAGTTCTGTACACTGCTGAGAGGTTCTGAGTCCCCTGTGGCAGCCACAGATGTCTCTTATGGGTCACTCTTTATGTGTGGAGTCTATAAGGCTGTATTTCTGTATGTCATACATTTTCTCTTGTTTTACAAGTATATCTTCTATCTTTTTTTTTTTTTTTTTTTTTTTTTTTTTTTTTTTTTTTTTTCAAAAGGGGTTTTTTTTTTTTTTTTAAAAAAGGGTTTTTTTTTTTTACTTTGGAGCCTATCCTGGCACTCGCTCTGGAGACCAGGCTGGCCCCAAACTCACTAGAGAGCCACCTGCCTCTGCCTCCCTAGTGCTGGGATTAAAGGCGTGAGCCACCAACGCCCGGCTCTTTTTTCTTTTTTGTATGTGTTTTTTGAGATAGAGTCTCATTATATAGCCCTGACTGGAACTGGATATGTAGGCCAGGCTGGCCTCAGATTCACAGAGATCCACCCACCTCTGCTTCCCAAGTGCTGAGATTAAAGGGGTATGCCACTATGCCCAGCAGCAAATAAATCTTACACAGCCAGCTACAAACTTAAATAAAAATGAAAGTTTATCAGCCAATGCCAGAGCCACAAGGAGCTTATGTATACTTTCCATGGTGGAGGAGAAGTATTTCTTAGCTTTCAAATAGAGCTGCTTCTGTTGTTGGTGAGGGACAGACAGCCCCTGGGCACTTGTGCCAGAGGAGGGAGACTGTATTTGGGCTTGGCAGGAACACTGTGAGGTGGGGTGTGCTAACCCTCCAAGGCACAGAGACCCCAGCCAGGCCTGGTGAGCTTGACTGCCACTTTTCTGTGTTCCCTGCTTATGTTCTGAGGAAGCAGAAGATTTTTAGGTGGTTTTTCCGGTGGGACTCACAGTTTATAACCATACTTAAGGCATGAGTGACTTTGAGCCCTAGGAAGTCTGTCAGCCCTTGGTAGTATTTCTCAGGAGTTGACACTGGCAGAGAAAAAGTACGCTGATCCCAGCAGACACAACTTTGGCTTTGCACTGGAATTGCCTGTGGCCAGGTGAAAGTCCCACCTAGTCAGCTTGCCAAGGAACCCGACTAACTCAGTCAAACAAAAGAAAAAAGCTCCACTTTCCCTAAGGGTAAAGGGCACAAAAACATTCTTTCAAAAAGAAATATCAGTGATTTTGCTAACTCTCTTGACGTGTTTGTTTTGCCACTCTGCCTGTACTGGGTTTCAGACTTTTAGGGTACTCTAAAGAATTAAGAGATCTATAGGTAAGAAGAAGAGTGCTTCATAAAACACTGAGAAAATGGGACTTGCCAGTGTGGCTAAAGAATCAGAGCAACTGAGAAAGGGTCAAGACTGGGCATCCCAAAGTGTCCCAGGCTGAATGTCCAAAGGGAGCGAGGCTGACACTGTACCCCAGCCCTGGGGACTCCCTGCAATGGGAGGCCAGACTCGAGGTTTGGAAATCACAACCCTGAGTCCTGAACAGCTCAAGGTCCTGTCACTTGCCCTTGAAAAGGACTGGAAAGGGGGGCAGAATTCTAGAGTTGCCATGAAATAGATTTCTGTTTCTCCTTTAGTAGAAATGCCTTATTAGCTTTGAGTGCTTGACTAAACTTCCTCCAGAAAGGTTCAGGCAAAGCCTAGTGCCTCAGGCTTCCATAATGTGTCACAGAAGTGTTCTTAACTTGGTCCCTGTTCTGTTACATGTGGCTGCCCCTACTCCCTGGAACCCACCATAGAGGCGGAGCAGGAAGAGCCGGGCTGTGGCCAGTGGCTCTGCACTCCTGGTCCTACGCCTCCTTCATTTCATAACTCTTCACTCTTCTCCCTTCTTTCCTCTTAGACTAGAAGTAGTGCTGTTACAAAAACAAAAATAACAACAGCAAAAAATACCCCAAAATAACAATATAACCCACCATAACCTCGAATAGGCCTGATTTAATGTATCGTCTTCCTCTGGTAACCTTGTCTACAGCTGCTGCTTGACCACTGTTTGAGACACTGTTCATGGTATTTCTGTTTGTAATGTGCTTTTAATATTGAACTCCTCCTTTTGTTCTCGAACCTGTGAATGCTTTGTTTCCAAGCCTCCTCTTCTCACTGCTATGGATCAGTGGGCCTGGCACAGATTTCCCTACCCTGGCCTCACAGTACCTGCCTGGAGTTTAGGAAAAATCTGGACAGCAGGCAAAGAAAAACCTGGATGGAATGGCTGTTCTCTTGGATGTGAGCCCTTGGTTGCAAGTGGTTCCTTTTTTGGATAGAGGAATCCCATTATGCAGAACCAAAAGTGAGGCACATGGGTAGAAAGGGGGAAGAGAGCCTTTCTCTCTGTGTGCAGTGTCTAGAACATTTGCAGAACAGAGAGCACGTGGGAGGGCGTTCCTCCCCTATCACCTTGTGAGAAAGAGTGTCTTTCCTGGAGAAGCTGTAGTTACAAATGGCACTGGCCTGTTCCCTGACCCACAGATGGTACATGGTACCCACTGGCTTCCACAGTTGAATCCCAGTAGGCTGCTAGGAAACACAGGCATTGCCCACACTAGCCAGAATAGCCTCATGCTGCAAAGGATGTCACTCCGCCTAATGGCAAAGTCAGGGATCTTCTATTGGCTTCCGAGGGTCTCTTCCCTTCTAAGCCTCCTATAAAACCCAGGAAAGGGAGCACCGTGGAGCAGCTGCCATACTGTCTGCCTCCCCAACCCTACCAATAGAACCAAAGCTGAGCAACAGTACTGGGTAAACATTTGTATATGCACACCTCTCTACGTATATAAGTATATCTGTATGTGTATGGGTTTAAGGTCATTGTATAGGTAGATACTATTTATATAAACTGTGTCCTAAACAGTTACAGTGGGAACGCTTTTTAAAGCTACTTGTTGATCTGAAAGCCATAGGAGCTTTCTCTGGAAGCTTGCTCTAGCTTGACTCCAGCCTAGTCAGGATTCCAAAAGAGCTTATCAGCTAGGCACAGTCATATGTGGACACGTGGAGGCCTAGACATGGGGCTGGATCTCCCAGAAGACCCCCAAACTCAAGTAATCAGTTTCCCTAGTCGGCAAAGCAATAGTCTTGCTGGTAGGGGGACCAGAGAGTCATAGACACCTAACTTCCCTCAAGTCAACCTGTAGGCTGTGTTGGCTCCACTGAAGCCACCTCAGTCTTAGTATTTACTGTGCCTGACTGCTTCCTGCAGCACAGTGGAAACATCTTGGACCCTCTGTGCCACTGAATACTGACCGGTGAAGTAAGGGGTTCAGTTTTAACCACCATTCCCCCCGGGGTGAGGAGGGGGAGCAGCAAACAATGCCCAAAGCTCCGGTACATAGAAGCCAGAGTGGGGAGGACTAGCTGTGCCAAGGAACACTTTGCCTGTCCACTCTGACCTTCCCTACAGCTTTTAATTTGCCCTTGTTTTTAATCTGTGCTATTGTGAGTTTTTCGGTGTGTTGCTTTGTGAGTTTTTTATTTAATTGTGTAACTTTGTTTTTGCCATTCCTGTGAAACCAAGGTGTTGTGCTTTAAGGTTTTTTTGGTTTTTTGTTTTTTTGCTTTTTTTAACAAATGTTACATTCTTATTTAAGAGAATAAATTCCAAACAATCTTCAGGTTTCTGAGTTTTTCTTTTCTTTCTCTTTTTCCTGATTGGAGTGTGGGACAGGGGAAGCTCAGGCAGGTGTGGGGCATGAGCTGTAGAAGCCACTGTTCCTCAGGCGGCCACGGGCCCAGGTTATCCACAGAGTATAGAGTCCTGTTTGCGGAAGGGCCTTGTGCAGGGTGTTTTGCCCTGCAGCACCTGTAAATAAAGAATAGTAAGAGTCCTCTACCCATGTGTCCCCTGTTTAGTGAGCCAGAGTGAGGGACCTCAGGCTAGGCAGATGAAGGATAAATGTCTACACAGAGCCCAAGTCTGTCGAGGGGACATAGCACCCGGTGCTGTCCTCAGGAGATCTGCAGCCAGTTATGTGTCTTCCTTCTGTAGACATGCTTGCTACGGTACCCTCAGGCTGATGACTGGGGTCACACGGGGGAACCTTGTTCTTTGCTCCACTGCTGGGGTCTCCCAAGCTGTCTTAGGGGAGACCTGGCTCCTGAGTTCTGTTGTCTAGTTGGTTGAACCATCCTCAAGCCTGGAGAGGCCACCCTGTCCTAGTCACACATGATGCTGCTAACTGAGGAGCGGTGATGCTTCTGCCACACCAGCATGCCAGCCATGGGAACACAGGCCAAGCAGGGCCAATGTAGGCACCTTTGTGGGTGAAGTACTCTGTACTGAGTTCACCCTATTGGGAAGT